TCATTTCTACCCAGTTATTGTGAAGGATGTGGGTGGGATTTTCAAAAGCACCCAGCATTGGCCTAACTCTCTGCATTGAGCCCAATGGATGGGGAGTTAGGCAAACATTAGCCTCTTGAACAACCAACCATAGGGTGGGGTTTTCTAGAGAATTGGAAATGAAGCTGGTTGGAGCATTATTCAGAACAGTGTTGCCAAAAAATGAAAATTAAATGTTTTGAACAATTTTGCTGCAGCCTCCTCCCGCCCCACATTCACAGACCAGCTTTAATTAGGACTAAGTGTAAGGAGAGAGACCAATTAAGGAAGCAATAATAACATGATTCAAACAAAGCTTTTCCCAGTGGAGAAAATTGACTGAGAGGGGTGACAAGGGGCAGGAGAACTCAAGGTGTTTCCAAAGGTGGGCAATGTTCTTCTGCACTATCGGCATGGCATGGCTTTCTTTGCCCATGGCTATCCTATGGAGTGATCTTGCACGGGGTTTGCTGCATGCAGAGGGGATCCAGGGAAAGATAATCTAGCCCCAGGATTTATTACTTTTTATTTATTACTTTTTCCAAAAAGCGAGTGGGCAGACAATGAGCCAGGTTCTTCATGGCTCTGCACCTTTTGCAGTCACTGTATACCGGTGCAAAGTGAACCTATATTGCTACCAATCAAATTTCGTAGCATTTTACACTTGCTTTGCACTGCTGTAAAATGACTACATGAGGTGCACAGCAACGAAAAGGATGTCTCCCTAATTCCTGCCCCGTCCCCGCTCCTTACCCCTCCACTGATCCTGAAGAGCACCCTCCACTGAGACCGAAGAAGAGAGATGCCTGTGCATCTTTCACATGGTGCTTTACCCACCCATGAATCTCACTGGGGTGAACTGGGCCACTGTATGTTGCTGTGAAATGTAAGCACTAGCTCTGCTTTCAGTATTTTTCTCATTACAGGTGGCATTTGAGACATGATAGTCTGAGTTGAACCCATTGGGAATATATCTTAGTGGGAAAAGATCAGACAGAACCGATTCTGGGAATAAAATAAACACTAAGTGGAAATAGATAAGCTGTTAAAATCCAATCTAGAATGCATGGTGTAAATACCACCCAGCTTCTTCTCCCAGCTCATGCAGACGTAGGCTGTATCGACATGGGAGAAATGAACCATTGGTAAATGAATGAGATTGTAACAACGGTGTAGCATAGCCTTCATTGCAGTCATGAAAATTAAGAAATGCTAAAATCACTAGCCGTACAAAAGTAACAATTGCTGTTCTAGAGCCTTCTTGAAAGGCCCTTTGCCCTAGGACTAGAAATAGTAAAGGCCTCACAAATGTAATAAGCCTAAAGTGGGGAAAGGAATATGGGGGGAATGGGAATAATGTGGGAGACGCCTGAAGGGCCATGGGGTTCAGTTCAAATAGAGTAGGGAAATTCCCCACTTGTACTCCATTATGGTCTGACCCCAGGGTGTAGCTCAGCCCGCTGGTGGGGACATCTGCCGTTGTGTGTGTGTGTGTGTGGGGGGGGGTTACCAAAGTGGGCACCGAATGACCTCATGAAATCTAGGGGAGCTGAACCAGTGGGTTGATGGAGGGGCTCAGCAGCTATTGCTTGCACTCTGCACATGGGAAGGGAGGGAGTGGGTATTTCCATCCCCAAGTGGGGTTACCTCCACCCTCATGTAAGGCCACATACAGTATGTCCATTTCATATAGATAACTTCAGTGTTCACTGGAGCCCAGAAATCCCTTCCATTATCCCCCAACCCTGCAAAAGTCAGTTCCCATTAGTATATATTACAGTGAACTGCTTATATACCTGCTGTAGAGGATTTCTAGTCTCCTAATTCCTCTTCCCAACCTGGATTGGTCACTGCCTCTGATACTATCTGTGGACCTCAGGCAGGGCTGGATTTATACCTTCCACACTCCTCCCTTCCCTTCCTCCCCCCTGCCTGCAGCTGACTTTCGTGTTGTCTGTAAAAAATGAAACTTTTAACTCACTTTTCACTTTTAGGTGCCCCTAGGCATGTGCCTACTGTCTCTAGTTGGAAATCCAGCCCTGTCCTCAGGATCCCCAGGTATTGGCATGTTCTTAGGCATTTTCTAGTCCAGCTCCTCATCAGTGGTGTGCCTGGACTATGGAGCAAACCTTCTCCTCTGCCCTTTCCTCATCCCTCAGCATTGCAGTACAGGGAGCATCTATACTGTCTAGTAGCACATCAGGCTGCATAGAAGGTCAAGTCCAGGTCTTCCCAAAATGAGCAGGTTTGCCCCTCTGCCCAAGATTGGCTATTATTATCAGGGGCCTTGTTGTGTTGCATTGTAAGGCCCTTAATATTTCCCCAGCACTGTTTGCTAAACCAAATGTCCAAGTGCTCAGACACTTAATTATAGATGCGTGTTTTTCTAGCGGAGTTCAGCTGTGACTCGATTTTTTTGGTTGCCCCCGAGAGACACCAGTACTTGAGCTCTGCCTGGCCTGCTGCCAGCATGCTAATAGTTTTCTTCTGAAACACACTTGCTGCTAAAGGAGCTGACCTTAGGTCAATGCTATCAAAAAAGTTGAGGCTGGCAAATTGCTTACAAATGAGTTCTAAGGGTTGTATAGTACTTTCCATAGAGGGAAGTGGCTTGAGCAGAAAACACATTAGACAAACAACCTAAGCAGTGATCAGCGTACTGTGATATGGTTGTAGAAGGACTATTTGCACCACTAGGGCTGTTAAATCAGCACTTCAATCCATGCTGGCAGTGCACCAGTTGAAGATCACATGATGGTGAGCCTTGTTTGGAAGCAAGGTTAAACCAAATGGTTGTGTGGATGCCTGTGCACTGTTAGGAGAAATCTGGGGAATGCATGTGGACATGGGGGTGGGGGAGGGTGTAGTCCAGGCATGGCAGGGGAATGAAATGGTGGTTAGCACATTGTATTTCTCTAGTGTAGACAAGGCCTTAAGGTGGTATAGATGCCTTTCTATATAGAGATTTGCAGATCATACAGAAATTGGAAGAGGTTGAGATCAGAATATGAAGGTGGAGGCATTCTCATTGTGCTTGTTTTACATCTCTGACTTGGTGTTTTCCTGGCCCTTAATTCCATGCAGTCTAACAGGATATTCTGGGGTTATAGAGGTTCTTGGGATGGCTTTCAAATAAATCTTATTCAGAACACATGGGACTGTTGAGATGTAAATAATACACACTAAACGCACCTGAATAGAGTCAAGGTCAAACTTATTCTTCAAGCAAAGGAATTAGTCTTTATTGCTTATGGCAATGTGTTTTTATTGGAATTCTCAAGCTCATTTTGATTTCTGTAGGCATATTTTGTTTCTGCTTAGATCTTCTTTAATCTATATGGTAATTTTTGATTTATACGTCAATACTTTGCCTTTCTAAAAATATCCCATCCTTTTAATTAAACTCAGAGCACTCCTGTCAGGTAGGAAAATATTATTATACTAATTTTAGAGATGAGTAAAATGAGGCACAGAGAAGGTACATTGACTTGTCCAAAGTCACACAAAGGTCTGCGTTGGAACATTATGTAGGAGTCCTGATTCCAGTTCCTTTCTCTAAACACTAGAACATTCTCCCTCCTCAGAAGCTAATCCAATAGGTGCAACCCATCTCCCCAAGAACTCCATGCACGATTGTGCCCCTGCTCATGAGCAGCTACAATGTGATCCAACTTTGTGGAGCAGCTGCTATTGATGATATGTAAATCTGAGAGGCAGCTGAAGAATTCTAATGGCCCCTCTTCCCTGATCAGAACCAAGTGCTGCATGTCACAGCTGAGAACAGACTATAGTTTCTGTGGCATTGGGTAACCCCAAATGTTCCAAAAATGTCAGCTCTTTCCTGTCCCCTAAACCTTGACATTTTTAAAAAGATAATTTAGGGGTTCTTTTTAGTTGCCTGATGACTTTTGAGCCTTTGGGGTTCATGATTCCAAGCTCTTCACTGCAGCCAGGAGGGGGCTAGGACCTTCTATGTCTTTTTAAATGAAACTTGAGATTCTCACAATCGCATGACTCCAGGAGCTGGGGCTGTCAGAAAACACCAGACACTGAGATTGGCAATTAAAATCATGAGAGTTGGTAACACCTGAGAACAACACCCCAACCACCAGCATCAAGGCTCATGAAGGAGGAACCAGCAGCACAGAGTAGAGGAAGGAGCCATCTGTGTATAGTTGCCACTTCCATGGATCTCAGGAGAGTTTCTTCTAAGTGGGTCCCCAGGATCTGCAAGGTTGAAGGGGCTCACTCCCTGTACACATTTCAGGGCCACAAAGCCCTCATACTAGATGGGATGCTTTCATGGTGTTTCCAGTCTTGCTCTTTATTATATCCAATATATGTATTATATTTCTGACTCAATTATCACTCAATGTTCTGAATAAGCTTCCTGAACTGCTGTCTCACCAAGCTAAATTTTTGTAACACAGACGCTGAATTAAAAATGAACATTACTCTAGTAGTACTAAAAGTTAGCATTTAAAAATGGGTGTTTCCTAAAATGTTTAAAAACACATTTGATGACATTTCTAAGCACGGCTTCATTGTGCAGGCACAGAAATGTTTGCATTGCCATGGAAACAAAGCTGAAGACCGCTCATGCTGGAAAAAAACCAAGTTATAGGGTGATTGTGGAAAAAGAAGCTAGAGGGGTGATATCTTTCAGTGTGTACGTGAAATGGACCTGATGTGATGCTGACTTCTCTGGGTAGAAGGGTTTTTTTATTTAGTTTTTCCACTGAGATTTCCACTGACTAAAGGGTTACTTTCTATACACACAAGGTTGACACTAAAAGCGATCAACATACATGTACATAAACTGTACAAGTACAGAGATGTCTGTGACTACAGACTAACACTTCTTCTACCAATTGCTTTAGAAAAAATAGACAATTGCAAGCCTACCTCGAGTGAGAGAGGAACCACTAGGTCAGAATACGAACCATATATTTTTCTTTGTATGAATGTAGTTATTCATGAAAGAGTAACAAACCCAGCGTTTAATTTCTGATCAAACAAAACATACTTTCTAATTTGGCTAAACTGAAAACATCAAATGACTAAAATGCTTTCTAACCATAGTTTCGCTAGCAGCTTGATAGGTATGTAAGGCATGCAGATCATTTCCTGCCAAGGCTGAGAAACATGGGTAGGTCTGAGATAATAGGGTTGGTGTGCTTGGAAAAAGAACAAGGTTGTTAATGTTGTAGTTGATTGCATTTTTGGGTGGCTCTTGGCTTCCTTTAAACCATCCCAGGTACTTCCTGTGGTCTGACTCTCTTAGCTCTGAATGACAGAGGGATCAGTAGGAGACAGGATAGGGATTTCCAAAGCATCACAATCGTCAGTAAGGAACACCAAGTCCTGGGGAAATAAGAGTAATGATTAGTGTTATAAATGGGCAGTAGGGAGGCAGCAGGCAGTGGAAAATATCAAGGTTGGGGCCTGATCCAACTCCACTGAAGTCAATGGCAGTTGGATCTCCCTGGAAGCAGCTGTATTAGTAGCAATGTATGGTAATTGACATACCCTCCTGCAGAAGGAGATCATAATGGTGTACAGGCTCCGGATCTTTTCCTTCAGAGCACTCACTTGCGGCACTCTTTGGCATGCGGGGTACGCCACAAAGTTACGGAGTTTTGTCAACACACAATAATTCTGCAAGGCATGGAAAGGGTGATTTGTAAAACTGTTGTGCAGTACTGGTGGATTTGCACTACCCATTGGCCACTCTCAAATATTCCCTTTCATGGGAATTCACAACTCCCAGCTGTGTGTGTGTGTGTGTTTTTAAACAAATCCTTTATTATGTAAACAACAATCAGTATTTCATAACAGGGTTGTCTACTCCATCTTTGGTAACTGCATAGACTCCCCCTCTCCTCCCCCCCCCACCTCCAGTTTTGGCTCTCATAGTTCAATACAATCACTGGCTTCTTTTTATGTTCTCTAGTAGAGGATAATGCCAGCATAACCCTCTGGAGTTAATGGAATTATATGCAGGAGAATGTGGTCTATTCCTTCAATAGGAGCACCTCAGTTTGTTACAATATACAGTAACCAAGACCTCTGTCATAATTTGCCTCACTCCCACTGGACAGTGGTGTAAGAGTCAGGTGGAACTTTGTTCATAGCACTTAACATTTGTGCAGTATTTTGACAATGTAAACTAATTTCACAATGTTCCTGTAAAGCAGGTGAATAAATTATTACTGTCCCCATTTTGAAAACAGAGAAACTGAGGCACTGAAGCTAAATTACTTGCACTTTGCCATGCAGTGAGTCAGTGGCAAAGCTGGGAGTAGAACCCAGGAGTTCTTGGTTCTCAGCCCTTTACTGACTTCATTAGATTATGCTGCCTCCAACAAAACTTAAGGTTTTTCCCAGTTGTTTGTGAAGAAAGCATAACACGGCATATTCTATTGCTTAGCACTGGAACTTAAGGTGCTTGCACAAAAGAATGTCACACACATCCTTTGTGGTGGATGGACATGCATTTATTATTATCGCTGCCATTATTTTGTCTCCTATGGAAAACTTTCAGAGAGCTCAGGAAGTGATAGCTGATTAAAAAAAAGAAACTCAGCAATGCACTCCTCCACTTGAATTCATTAAAATAGCAATTTGAATGAACTAGATATACCACATGTGGAAAGAAGACAAGAGTCTTGATTCTGCTTTTGACCTTTTCACTATTCTCATGCATTCCCATGCATACATTACATGCTGGTAATATTCCATTACAAGAAATATACAAATGTTACTCACTTAAAAATGGTGATTTTAATCATTTCCACAATTATAAACAAGAAAAACTTCAGAAAAACATCTTTATTTTTAAATGAGATCCTACAGTGCTGCTTTTCACTGTTTCTCTCTAGTCTAGTTAAATTTTCAAAAAATAGCTTCAATCCATACTCAAAGTAGGTCCCATACTTGCACTTTTTTCATTAGCTGCTTTTAATTCATGGTTGTAAAGAAAGAATAGTGTAAACTTACATGTATGTCCAAGTAGAGCTTGGGCAGCATCTCCACACAGGGGTCCTGTAGTAAAGAATAGAGACATTGCAATTTTTTTCCCTAGGGAGATTTGTTTCAAAAGCAACAATCTAAGTAATGTTTTAGATCAACTCACCACAGGTTCAGTGTTCTGTAAATTCTTAAACGATGCCATGATTTCTTTGCTCAAAGACAAAATCCTTGAGTAGCAGGTTGGAGGAGCTGAACTAATCAACAGAAAAATAGAGAGCAGAACAACCAAACTCAGCAGCATCTTCATCGTGGAGAGTATGTCAATAAATGTTAATGGTTTCACAACTACTGATAGGTTTCAGTGGAGTCTAAGTTTGACAAGTGGACTCCCACCTTAAATAGGCTCGTGTATCAATGAAAAAAATGTTTTGGGGTTGGTCCAAACAGCGGCTCACTGCCGTTTTAAATTTCCTGCCAACCTGCGAGCCAAAGCTGCTAGTACTTTCCTGCCCTGGAGCAGGGAAAGGAGGGAGTGAGGATAACCAAACAAACACAACTGGTACACTTTATCCTCTAGAGAAAACAACTCAGTAACGAACTCTAAACGCTAACACAAGTATGTGTAATAAACAACACAGGTTTATTGTGGAGTTGCAGACCCCGCTCCTGCAACCATTTAGGCACATGCTTCCTATTATGCACACAAGTAGTCTCATTGTGTGGCTGCTCACATGCATAAAGAGAAACAGCTTTCTCTAAGTCTAAATGCTAGCAAGATGGGGGCCATATATTGTTGTATTAGATGAGAAAACCATTTAAAATGGCTGTAAGTGGCACACATCCTCTGCTGGTCTTGGAGATGTTGCTGAATCCAGGAGTGTAGTGGGTTTTGTTTTTGTTGCAGTCACTGTTTCTATTGTCTGTATCTACATATTCAGTACTTTGAGATTAAAAGGAGAATATATGTTTCATACTAAACTTCCCAACACTGGACCAGATTCCGATTCACTTTCTTTTTATGGTAAAGGTATAGTGTAACTTTTTTTTGACTTACTTAAGTCATGACAGGTTGAAGAGTTTCCTGTCCGATCTTTTGTGGAGATACACTCCATCTTTCATGTCCTTAAATGTGCAGCTCAGGGCTACCGAGAAGAAGATTCCAAAGAGCATAGGGACAAGAACACATCCTTGCTTTACTCCGCTTTTCTTCTCAAAGCTGTCTGAAGTTGACCAGTCAAACTGGACAGTTCTCATGTTGTCATGGAATGAACATATAAGATTTAACAGGGTTGGTGGGTTATCTTTTCTAGTATTGTAAATAGACCTGCTCTGCTGACTGACTGTCAAATGCTTTGGTTAGATCCACAAAGGTGATGTACAATGGTCGGTTTTGCTCTCTGCATTTTTCCTGGGGTTGACAGAGAAAATATCATGTCTATAGTTGATCTTCCAGCCCTGAATCCGCACTGTGATTCAGGGTAGACACAATTCGCCAGCTGTTGTAGGTGCACTAAGATGACATTTGCGAAAGCTTTCCCCTCTATACTTGGTAGTGATATAGCCCTGTAGTTGTTGCAGTTGCCCTTTTCACCTTTAGTTTTATATAGAGTGGTCATGTGAACATCTCACATCTTTTGTGGTACCTCACCCTCTTTCCAGCACTTAAGTTGCAGATGATGAAGATATGGTGGTAGGCTGTCTTTCCCTCACTTGAGGATTTCTGCTGGGATGTCATCTGTTCCAGGAGCTTTGCCACTTGATAGCAAATCAATGGCCTTGCTTAGCTCTTCTACAGTGGGCTCCACATCTAGCTCTGGCATGACCTGTAGAGTTGGTATTTGGTCCAGTGATTCGCTGGTGATGTTTCTTTTGTGTGTGTGTGTGTGTGTGTGGCTCTGGATAGTGTTCGAGACAACTGCTTGCTTTTATCTATAAGGATTTCACCGCTGTGAAATTTGAGAGGGACCTAGAGCTTTGTTCAGGCCATCATACATGATTTTGAGGTTTCCTGTATCTCTTCACAGAGCTTCACTAAAATCAAAAAGGTGCTAATCAAGGGACTCCTATTCGCTGACGCTTCTGCCCTCATAGCCCACTGTGACCGGGATCTCGGGTTGGGGGGACAGCTGAGGTCATTCAATTAGGGTGAACTGCAAAGAATGGGGCAGACAATCCCCAAAGCTGGTGGATATATCAATACTTAAAGAAGCTGTTTTGTGCTGGCTGTTAAATTTATTACCTCACTAGTTGCTCAGAAGCCAACAACAGTTTCCTTAAAGTGATCCAGCCTCAGGCCTCCATCCAGGTACCTAAGTCAAGAATGATGAAGATTACTGAATCTTTTTCATCATATAAAAGAAAAGGTTCTACCAATCCCAAAGGATGGGACACATTACCTCCCAGGTTAATGAATATTCCAGATCTTACCCAAATACATGCTTACAGCCAATTCTTATTAACTAAACTAAAATTTATTTAAAAAGAAAAGTGTGGTTAAAAGATCAATATACATACAGATGAGTTCAATTCTTGATGTTCAGATTCATAGCAGAGGTGGTGAACTTTTGTAGTTTCAAAGAGTTCTTTTGGAATTTAGTCCATAGGTTAAAGTCCAATGTCCAATATCACATTCAGGGTGTACTAGCTTAACTGGGATCTCAATCTGGCGACTCAAACTTCCCTTGATGAAGCATAAGCAGATCGGAGATAAAAAGGATTGGGACCCCAGGGTCATTTATACAGTTTTCTAGCATCCACTTTACCATACAGTCCTAGATAAACAATAGGCTTTTGTTGTAACCTTCTGGTTTCTAAACCTCATCCATAACTAATTACACAAATTAACATAGACTGCCAAATGGATAAATTGCCCTATCACAAACTTCAAGTTGGGGATTGGTCCTGCTTTGAGCAGGGGGTTGGACTAGATGACCTCCTGAGGTCCCTTCCAACCGATATTCTATGATTCAAAGAGACACATAGACAATGACATTTTCACCCAAGATTCATCTAAATATTAATATTCCCTTTTGGTCTTTGAATTAATAGTTATAGTGACAGACAGGAACTGTCTGTTTACATGGCTAACGTTTGAGTACACACAGACTATTAGTATCATTTTTAACTTCTAACAATATAGGTTTGCATTTCAAAGTTCTAGCCAATCTAACATTGAATGGCCCTCATTACCATTCACATGCTTTCTAACATGACTTTAAAGGTTGGCTTTGGGACATTCAGCCTGCAAACGGTTTAACCCTTTCTGGCCATGAATTATACTTTGTATAAGATTCATTGCAATTATATAACAGTGGTAGCAATAATGAGTTGCATGATTATATTTTAATTAGACAACGTCACACCCACAATGAAGATCTACTACAAGAACTCATGGACCACCTTCCAAGTGCTTGTCAGGCACTTGTTCTCACACCATTTTCTTAATGCTAATGGTATTAGGACAGGGGGTTCCATGAGATCCTTCAATCACCTTAAATGCAAACCAGCTAGAAGTAGTCCAAATGTTCAGCTACTTAGGTTCTACAGTGACCACCAACCTCACTGGAACTAAATGTTCACATTGGAAAGGCTGACACCACCTTTAGCAGACTAACTAAAAGAGCATGCAACAACTCAAAGCTTAACATCAAGACCAAAATGCTAGTTACCAAGCTTGTGTCCTCAGCACTCTTGTGTATGGTGGGGAAACATGGACAACTTATGCTCATCAGGATAAAAGGTTAAACAGTTTCCACCTATGCTCTTTATGCTGCTTACTCAACACCAAATGGCAAGATAGTCACCAATGCGGAGGTTCTTCAAAGGGCAAATTTACCAAGTGTGACAGGTTTGCTGAAGCAGAGACAACTTCACTGGCTGGGCCATCTGAGTAGGTTGGAAGACAGCTCCCCATGTAGCATGGCCTTGGGTATGCATCTATCAGAGGGAACAAGAACAGGACATCTCAAGCTTTGCTATAAAGCAGTGGTTCCCAAACTTGTTCCGCCGCTTGTGCAGGGAAAGCCCCTGGCGGGACAGGACGGTTTGTTTACCTGCCACATCCGCAGGTTCGGCCAATTGCGGCTCCCAGTGACTGCAGTTCACTGCTCCAGGCCAATAGGAGCTGCTGGAAGCGGCGTGGGCCAAGGGACGTACTGGCCGCCGCTTCCAGCAGCTCCCACTGGAACTGGAGCAGCAAACCACCGCCAGGGGCTTTCCCTGCACAAGCGGTGGAACAAGTTTGGGAACCACTGCTATAAAGATACATGCAAGCGAGACAGGAAGGAATTTTTGAATTGATCCTGACCAATAGGAAATCTTGGCAAGTGACTGACTGTAAAAAGCGACGCCATCATCTCCATCAGGGCATCAAAGTCCGTGACAGGAGCTGGCTCCTACAGCCTGAAGAGAGAAGAGCCTGTAGGAAGTAAGCTGCTTCCGACCAAGACACATAAATTTGCAACAATTGTCCTTGGCTGCTTTGTTTATGCCCCATCAGTAAGTGTGTCACAGGAAACCAAAGACTGTCTCTGGAGCATACAGGAAGTGTAGCACTTCCTGGAGGACTTACTCTGTAGCACATCTACTCTTTTTTGTAGATCCCTTTCTAAAGTTCCTGATTTGTATTTGTTATGGGTTGTTAGTTTAATTTACTAGCATTTTAGTTCAATCAGTGATTTAATAACCCTTCAGGTTGCTCCAACACAAGGCCCAGATTTTTAAAGGTATTTAGGAGTTGGTCTCATTAATAATGCAAGGCCTAAATTCCATTTTCAAAAGTGACTTAAACTCTTAGGCCTACAGTTGGGTTGGAAATGTTTTTACCATCCCATGAAAACTTTTGAGGTTTAAAATTTTTTCTCATTCTGCAGTGATATAAAAGACCTTTCAAAGCTTTTCATGATAAACGACAGACGCTAGGAGAGCTGATATCTTGCATGAGTCCTAACCACTAGACTGTAGGAGACCTAGGTTCATATCCTTTCTCCAAATCAGGCAGTGCAGGGACTCAAGCCTGGATCTCCCATATCCTCATTGAGTGCCCAAACCACTAGGCTGTTGGCTATTCTCAGATTGATGTTTGCATACTCTCTCTCATGAGATTTCTGTGAAAATGTTTGAAAGGCCTCTTCCATACCAATGTGGAATGAGAGAAATTTTGAAATCTCAAATTGTCATGCTTTGCTCAGCATTGCCAAGCCTAAGTGACTTGTCAAAGATCAAACTGGAAGAACATGGTGGAGATGGGAATCAGACCCAGATCTTAAATCCTAATCCGTGCTTTAAGCACAACACTCTCTTCCCTCTCAATGTCCCTGTATTACAACCTCAATTTTTACAGTGAAACACAAATCTCTATATTTCCCAGGTCTCTTTCTTTTGTATTTTTTTTCCCTT